TCCAACGCTTTTTATAGACACACCCAGCGAACTTCGTTCCCACTTCAAGAAACTCCAATGGACACGAGTCGTTGCTTTCCAAACTCGTAACCCCATGCACCGTGCTCATCGTGAACTGACCGTACGTGCTGCTCGCCAACGCAAGGCTCATTTGTTGATTCATCCTGTCGTCGGTCTTACAAAGCCTGGAGATATCGATCACTACACACGTGTGCGAGTCTACAAGGCCTTGATGCCCAAGTATCCTAACGGTATGGCCGAGCTCAGTTTGTTACCCTTGGCCATGCGTATGGGTGGTCCTCGTGAAGCCGTCTGGCATGCCTTGATCCGTAAAAACCACGGTGTGACTCACTTCATTGTGGGTCGTGACCATGCTGGCCCCGGTAAGAACAGCCAAGGTGTTGATTTCTACGGACCATACGATGCCCAAGCACTCGTTGAGAAGTACAAGGACGAAATCGGTATCGAGATTGTGCCTTTCCAGATGGTTACTTACTGCCCTGATACAGATGAGTATATCCCTGCTGATGAAGTTCCCGAAGGTGTCAAGACATTAAACATCAGCGGTACGGAGCTTCGTCATCGTCTCAAGACAGGTTTACCCATTCCTGAATGGTTCTCTTATCCTGAAGTCGTCCAAGTCTTGAGACAATCTCATCCTCCTCGTAGTCAACAAGGTTTTACCATCTTCTTTACTGGTCTTCATGCTTCTGGCAAGAACGCCATTGCCCGTGCTCTTCAAGTCTCCTTAAACCAGGAATCTACCCGTACAGTATCTCTTTTGTCAAGCGAAAACACCCGTGCTGAATTGTCTTCCGAGCTGGGTTTCTCCAAACGTGATCGTGATATCAATATTGGTCGCCAAGCCTTTGTTGCTGGTGAATTGACAAGAGCTGGTGCTGCTGTTATCGTCGCGCCTATTGCTCCTTATGCTGCCGCTCGTGATGCTGCCAGAAAGACCATTTCACAATATGGTGGCTTTTACCTCATTCATGTATCTACTCCTCTTGAAGAATGTATCAAACGTGATCGTGATGGTATCTATGAACGTGCCAAGAAGGGCGAGATCAAGGAGTTTACAGGCTTAGATGCACCTTATGAAGTGCCTACAAATGCTGAACTTACTGTTGATATTACTAAGCAATCCATCTCACAAGCTGTACATGAAATTATCCTGTTACTCGAAAAGGATGGTTACGTTGGTTCCTCCTAAGTTATTTATTCCCCCCCCACTTTTCATTTTATATGTGTAGACAATAAAAACAATTATGTATTTTAATAAAAAGTTCTTTTTATTTAATGATAGCCATCCATTATGCTGCTATAGGTCGTTTGTGGTGGTTGTTCCTGTTCTTGTTGAGGCATATAAACATTGGGCTTACTGCTATCTTGTTGTCCATCATTATTACCCTCTTGCCATCTTGAACTGTATATACCACTTCGACTACTATTGAGTTGACTTGGTACAGTTACCTCTTCAGTGACTATTGGTATTGAAGGCTTTGTTGATGGCCATATGCTACTTTGTATTATACTTGACGGATGATGATATTGAAACAAGCGCGTTCGATCGTCTATTGCATAACTTGAAAATGGTCCTTGCTGATTGCCATAGTGACTTGTTGTTGATATCGGTTTAGGCACTTGATATTTAAGATCAAGGTAAGGATCAGATAGGTCTATGCCGTAGATTTGAATGACTTGTTGCAAAAACTTGTGGCAGTTTGGAATCACCACATATGTATTCAACTTTTGCAAGCAGTAAATACATCTATAAAATAAACACCAGGCCAGCTGTACTACAGAAATGTCAGATCCATCCAACTGGAGCATATGAACTTTAATAGCGTGGATCAGTGCATGTGCAATAAAATCGAATTTTATGATATAGGCGGGCTCCTGACATAGATAATACGCCAGCTGTGTGATAGATGCGGCTGCTATACGTAGCTGGAAGTTGTTAGCTTCTGTGGCCGGTATCTTTGTGAGTAACTCTATCAGGATGATATTAAACTGTAAATGAACATGAGCAACAACCGGATCTGGTTTTGGTAGCTGTAACACATCCTCCACAGGTACTGGGGTTGTCGGAGTCCACTGCATATCAGTTGGCAAGCTGTAAAAAAAGTCAATGTATTTGTTGAAAAGGGTTGTAAAGATGGAGCAAATCTCATCTTGTGAGGCGTTCTCTTCAGATAAACTGCTCAAAGTGGATCGATTCATGTTTCTTAGTTCTAACTCCTCTTCGACGAGAAGGGCAAATTTAATTCTGTGCAAAAATACCTTTAGGCGATACTGGTCTTCTGAGGTCTCTTCCGGTAACGGCGATGGGAATCTTGTTCTAATATAGGTACGTCTGATCGTCCATGGCCGTTCCCAACCTAAACTCTGGAGCTTATCCAAGTCATAACATGCCCAGAGGACTCGTCGACGCAGTTCTTTTTCCACCAGGGATAAGTTAGGGTCTACGTCACTTTCGTCATGCAGTCCGAGTTCAATGGCCATTCTACATGCCATGCCTGAGAGAGACCATTGTCGACAATGATAAGACCCTGGTCGATACACATCAGCAGAAGGCTCGTATAGGCTCAGTAAATACACTGCCACCACTGTGCTCAACCGTGGCACGTCCATAAAGTCCTCTATTAAACGCTTGGCTCTATGATAAAATATATCTGGCTTAGGGCAATCTGGCATGCTGACAAATCGAGCAGATGACGCGTAAATGGCATTCAGAAGGAGCGGTGTAATAAATAATCCTTTGACCTTGAGTTGCTCATAAAAATAAGACGGAATGATGCACTGTTGTACCTGATTTCGAGTTCTAAAGAAGCAATCGATGAGAGCCATTTGTATCTCTGTTGATGGCATCTCGATTGACCCAGCGTATCGACTTGGCAGTGGTGGATCCAGAGTCCAAGAAATAAAGTTGCCAAATGATCCTGCTGGTGGCCAAAGCTTTTGAGATAATTTTCTTCCGTCAAGCGAAGGTGTCTTTTTGAGTGCATCACATAAACAAGCAAACATGTTGCTCACTCGAGATTCCAACATGGGTCCTTTTCTTTTTAATTTTGTGTGCTGTTCATCTACCGATTCCGAAAAGAAAATAGCTTGTTCTGCTGTGTTTGAAGTGCTGTTGTCTACTGATTCATTATGATCTTCAGAAGTGATCTGCCCTGGAGTAGTCTCACTCTCGTCTGTTTCTAGAGATCCGTCTTTATAAAATGAACATGCTATTGCACGTGCTATATGTATTTAACGTTAAGCTGCTGTCTCTTCTTCTTCTCTTGTCTCTCTTTTTATCATTCTTCTTCAACTACCTTTACACTAATGAAAAAGATAATTATATGTGAGCTTTGATAATGGCTCAATAGAATGTATAGATAATATATATAAATATGAGTAATTACCTGCATACACGGTCTTAAACCATCACACTAGAAAATATATGTATTGGCTTGATAAATGATATCATTATGGATCAATTGTTCAAGATAATACCTTGATTTTTTTAGCTCTACAAGTATAACAAGCTCTTCCAACCTTTAGTCTATTTCCGTTATCCTTTCTTTTTCTTTTCTTCGACTCCATAAGAGCTCTTTAAACATCGAAAACAGAAAAAGGAAGTAGGCAGTAAAAATAGATCACTTTCAAACATTTCCATTTCAATTCCGATTCCCCATTTTTAATTTCTTGTGACTTTAAACCTGTTATCAAATCAAATGATCTCAAACACCGGCAAAGCTTTGAGTTACACACACACTTTATATGAATAGAAGTAGGGACAAGAGAAGAATTACTCTTGTAAGATAATGCAACCGCGTATGAAGAAAAATAATTTACCTTGCTCATTATCTCGTCATGTAAGGACTATGCTTAGTGCGCCCTTGAATAAAATATCATGCTTTATCGTTGGCCTAATGTTAAAAAGACGGCGCTTCTTGTAACATATACATTCGTGTTACATTGGCATCCAATATTACCAACATCATATTCGTCATTTAATCCCAGTAATTCCGACATAAGTAGTCTAATGGATTTGTAATGATATTGTTTACGCCAAGAGATAATCTTTTCATTATAAAGGGATAGTAATAAGTAGAAAAAACGATTTTGATTGATATCAAAAGATCATTTTACTTTAAAAAATAAGGCAGATAGAGAGAAAGAGAAAGAATGGATCTCTAATATGGACGCTGATCCACTGGGAAAAAGAAGAATATGTGATCCTTAATTGAATGATTTCCGTGTCTGGATGAGCCTCCAATTTTCCCAAAAAAAAAAATACGTCTTTACAGTATCCCCAATTCCCCTCATACCAGCCAAAGACATAAAGAATGTGGTGTTTCCTGTCGTACTAATTATGGAATTTGATGTTCGAGTGTATACTTGCGATTGGCAAACCGAGGATTATACATTTTACAAGACAAAGTTTCCTTAGTTAAATGCGCAGATTGGCACTGGAGACACTGCAAAGACCATTTTTAATTTACAAATTCAGTGAAACGTCGGACGACCATTAAAGAGCAGATGATAGAGTTACGACCACTTGCCTTATTGATGTGATGAATGTAATGGATAAAAGCGGTGTGAAGAGCCATTATATTGTTGATAAATACGTTTTGATACCACTCAAATATTAGGAGTTTGGCTAGTCCTTTCCATAAAGTAAGACGCGTACGACTGGTATTCAGATGTCGTTAGCATGAGTATTTATGCTACTATTGTCATCTGTTTGATTTTTATCTGACGTGACAGAGAAATGAAATGTGTGATGTATGCTCTAATACAAGATTATATTTGAAATAGCGCATAAATAATAGGTTTACAAGGAAAAAGGAAAAAGAAAAGATGACTGTGCGTGGGAGAACTAGGCGAAAATGATAAAAACAATAACAAAAGGGAAGGTAATTACATTCTGCTTTTGAGTACTTTAAGTATTCTTTTGGATGCGTATTTGTTCATTGTATTGATCATTCTTGATATTTCACAAGAGATCCCTTGTAAACATTGCTCCAAAGAATACTTTGACGTTCCCAGTGTTAACGCCTTGTCCATAGCCCTTCTACTTCACTTTTTTATTAAAGCTAAATATGCCAATGAACCGAAAGAAATTGGATATAGGCTTAGCAATAGTAGGTGTTTTGATATATCAACGTAACTGCTGACTGTTCAGTCTGTGTATGGCTTCAGGTTGTGATAATTGGCCAACGGTGATGAGGCACAAAGAGTCATATAGCCGTTATTTTTGATAAACTTGGAGCATACTTGTGGCAACTGTGGTAATATGCCTTGTAGATATAGGCGCTTCATCCGTATCCAACTTGTGCACCTTCTTGGCAACATTCAGTTGTGATAGTAGAATATACATTCTGGTATTTGCCAATTCAACTTTCTCATTCTTTGAGCTTAAAGAAGCTGTACATTATTTTGTATATTGATCATTTGTTTTGTTGTTGTATCTCTTCTAGGTTGTGGATATTCTTTATGTACACTATTATTTCTTTTTACTCAGGAATAGTCAAGCATCAACTTATTCGTCAACTTGGGCCAGTGAAAAAAAAGTGCTTTGCGGCTTTATTGCCCAAGCTCTTCAGGACACTAAAAAATAGCTTTAATTAAGCCAGTTACGGGGTATTGCGTCCAAGCCATACTTTGATTTAAGCAGATATGAAAGGCCAATTCATATAGAAAGACGCAATTTGTTATGAAACTCAAGCCACTTTTGCACCCAATCATATCGTTGCACTGCTTCTTTCTACCCGCTTAATGGATATGTCGGGACCTACATAGTTCTGCAGTATATGCTCCACTGTTTTTTGTTAAAACAGCAAAAAAGGATTCTCATCAATTTGATATGAGTTGCTTATACTCCAGTCATGCGATGATGGCCCTGGATTTTCCTTGAAATATTTTCGGGGTCTCTTTAATCGTACAGTAACATAAAGATCTTGTAAGGTTACGTTTAATCCAATGCATTTGATTGGATAGCTGATAGATCTTTGATGACTTTGTTTAAACTGGTATACAAATTAAGAAAAAGATGAATAAAGGCCTTATGTCTAAGCTACTCTTGTTATAAATTAAAGATTACAGCTTAAATAAAAAAGAACACAGCATGAGGCTTATATAGTAATAATACCTCATTTATTTACCTCATTCTAATAGTAAACTATGTTAAAATGAGACATAATAGTTTATAAAAGAAGCAAGTTTCTCTCCTCCCCCCTCTTTTTCTCTCTGTCTACTTACCCTAAGCCCATCTTTAAATAATCTCCTATTAGAATTTATTACGTGTTTATGTCTTACAAGAAATGCAAAAGAAGGCTTTTGATAATCAAGTGTAGATCTCAGCTACCAATGAAACGTCGTTCCTTTTAGTCATTCTTTTTCATATAAAGAAAAAGAGAGAGGCAAGGAATGATAGAAGGAGATGTGACGTTAATACCTCATTGCCAAAATGATTATCATCAATATGACTCTTAAAAACTCAATAAGGCATATCAATAGTTATCTGACTAAACTCCGTAACCAAAGATCATTCAATTTCTGCATCTGAGATCTATGATTAAAAATCTATGGACATTTCACGTATATAAAAATCCATCCCTCTTTCCTTTCTTTCTCTCTTCTTTCAGTAATAATAAACCATGGTCAACGCTAATAATTCTGTAAAAGACCAACAAACAAAATCAAAACATACGCGCTCAGGCTCATTCAATCAATCAAGACCAAAAGTACTTCGCCCTTTCAATACAAATGAAGTCAAGGTTTTGCTTCTTGAAAATATCAATGAAACAGCTATAGCCTCATTCAAGAAACAGGGTTATCAGGTATATATATACGCACGAAAGAGTTGTAGTATATAAACCCCTTTCCTTTTTGATAGGTTGAGACTTATGCCAAGGCCTTAGTAGGCGATGAATTGCTTGAAAAGATAAAAGACGCTCATGTCATTGGTATACGATCCAAGACAAAATTGACAAAGCAAGTGCTTGAACAAGCTAAAAACTTACTTGCCATTGGTTGCTTTTGTATCGGTACAAACCAAGTAGATCTTCAAGCAGCAGCTAATCAAGGAGTAAGAAAGAAAGAACAAATAATGAGTGCATTACTGATGAATCTTATAGATTGCTGTCTTCAACTCTCCCTTCAGTAATTCTCGCTCTGTTGCAGAACTGGTTATTGGTGAAATAATTACACTTGCACGTCATCTGGGCGACCGCAATAACGAAATGCATTCTGGTGTCTGGAATAAAGTGTCAAAGAACTGTTTCGAAATTCGTGGAAAAGTGCTGGGTATTGTCGGTTACGGACACATCGGATCACAATTGTCCGTTTTGGCAGAGGCTATGGGCATGACTGTTTATTTCTACGATGTGATCCAAATCATGCCTCTTGGACAAGCCAAACCTGTGGACAGCCTGCATGAATTATTAGCTATCTCTGACTTTGTTACTCTCCATGTACCGGAAACGGAAGAAACAAAGAATATGATTGGCGAACAAGAACTGCAAAAAATGAAGAAAGGCGCTTACCTTATAAATAATGCTCGTGGCACCGTTGTTCAAATCCCTGCGCTTGTTAAATATCTTAAATCGGGCCATCTTGGAGGTGCAGCGATTGATGTATTTCCAAAAGAGCCAGCTTCAAATGGGCCCTACTTTAATGAATACCCAGAATTGATATCATGTCCTAATGTCATCCTGACGCCTCACATCGGTGGATCCACTGAGGAGGCACAGCGAATGATTGGTTTAGAAGTTTCTCAAGCATTGATCAAGTATATAAATGACGGAACTTCTGTTGGAGCAGTCAATTTTCCAGAAGTGGATCTGCGGGCTATTCGAGAAGAAGATAACAGTACAGTCCGTGTGTTGTATATCCATCGTAATATACCTGGAGTATTAAAGGTAACAAGAGTATATTTATTATATAAACATGTCTAATCGATCATAAATAGGAAATCAACCGAATCTTTGCTGATCATAATGTAGAAAAGCAACATTCTGACTCAAAAGGCAGCATAGCCTATGTAATGGCAGATATAGCAGATATAACAGACCTTAAAGGACTTTATGACGCATTGATTGCTACACCATCCAATATCCAGACACGTATCCTCTATTAGTTGTAACATAATCATTGATTCATTTTCTCGCATTCCTTTAGCAAATCCAATTTGTATTTATATTTATTGTGCTCACATCTTTTTAATAAAAAGAAAAAATTACTATCCACTTTAAATAAATAATGCTTATCCTTTTAAATACTCACTGTACCAATTTGCGGCTCTGTATTTATTTGCGAAGCAGTTAAAAAAAAAAGACTATGGTTGCCGAAGCGGAGGAGAAAAAAGTAGCCATTACCTTCATGAAGTTAAAGTGTTAAAAATACCTTTTTGCAAAAGTTACAAATTTGGAAATTACACAAAGAGGATCAGAGTGAACAGCAAAGAAACATTCATCTGAAGAAACCTTGTACAATTTAAATAAGGCTAGCGCGCACCCACGCACACACGTACGTACGATACCATAAAAGGGACTGCAGTCGGTGTAACAACTTACACAAATTACACTCCATCTTTCTTTTTACCTTTTTTCACTGAATTGTCCCACATTTACCCTTGTCACCTTTTTTTTTTTCCCTCTTTTATTTTTTCCGTTTTTTTTTTCTCTCTTTTTTTTTTCTTAAATAATGAAACGATTCACACAAGACAATCCCCTTGGGAAACATATCCCAGTTGACCTTGTCATTGATGATTCACCAGTCTATTTTATCGGTCCAGCAAGTAGAGACAATCCAATGTCTCAAGTGAGAACAAAGCTATTAGGAACTGTTCATTTTTATGATAGAAAGATAAAGTGGAATAGAGTCACACTTCAATTTGTGGGTAAAGCGGGTATCGACATCGAAGTACCTCGATCTGCTCTTCCTTCTGTATTTGCTGGTGATATGGATGATTCAACAAGCACAAGGATACATACAGTTGTGCCCATTTGTGAAGTAGAAAAGGAGCTCATCTTCTCTGGTGAAGAATCAATCGACTTTGGACTACATTTACCTTCTCACTTGCCTGCTAGTAGCAGAACCCGTCACGCTTTTGTAGAATATACCCTTATTGCTAATTTCTCAGCTGGAACCTTTTTCAAAAAATACAAGACACATAAGACAGTGACGATCCATAGACATTATCTTCCAAGTCCAAGTGCTATGATTCCCACGATGGAGTATTCTGGTGTAAAAGAGTGGTTTGAGTGGTCGGCTGAGTTACCTAAGGCTGCTGCTATACAATCAGGTGAAATAGTAATCGCCTTTCGTTGTAGTGTAGAAAAGGAAAGGGTGCAAGTAGATAGGATTGAGTTGGCTGTAGAAGAAATAGAAAATTACAGGTAAAACGAGAGTATAACAAGTGTTTTAAGATGGCTAAATATATATTTGTAAACAGATTTTGTACCAAACAGGGAGTTCAAAACTTACCTCCTATTGTCACAAGATTTCCTTCAGCAGTGTATCATATGCCCTCATTTTCAGAATACTCTGATACTCACTTCATTCGAACTCCCTTATCTATCAGCACAAATCCCAAAGTTAGATCAGTACGCACTCACCAATTCGACCCTTTTCTCGAGGTGAACCATCAATGTCGACTGACAGTACACTTTAACAAACTACCTACCATGGACGTTGAGCCTGTAGTACTTGAATTTCCCATCATTATCACAGATTACCCCTCAACTACTATACCTGATACATCCTTATCTACTGACTTCATATATACGGAAACAGAACCATCTCACTCGAACGGCCGAACCATCGTTGGAAACGGAGGTGATGATGCTGTCAATGTGGACCTTGACCTGCCTGAATATACACCGAGATATGAAGAATCTTCATCAGCAGCCACAAGTGTAGTGTAGACACATTCTAAATATACTCTAATCTTTTTGTAAATATATTCAATCAAACGTAATAAATGTCTTTATTATATGTATAGTGTAAACACAACAGTATTAAAAGAGAGCATATCCATAAGGTGGCTGTCTAATAATACTCCACTTGTCATCGTATTCGGACCATAAGTTCCAACCAAGCTCTTTGTAAAGTTCATTACGGACCTTCCATACCTTGCTAATGTCCTTCACACTTGAAGAAGTAAACGAAGCTTCGGACAGGTACTTTTGGACGGCTTTAAGAGCATTACCTGGGCGACCAGCTTTACGCTCCTGCTTCACCTTGAGTAATAGCGAAGTCAAATTGTTTGAACTGTCGTCAGAGTTCCATTGTTGAAGTGCCTTGACGGCAGACTTGAAGGGTTCAACATTAGCTTCATCGTCTAGTGTGGCAGCATAGGCCATTGCCTTATGCTTAAGAGCGTTGACCAACTGCTTCCTCTTTTGATCATTTTGTTTGCGCTTCTTCTTTTGTTCGTCCGTCTCGTTTTCGGGCTCCTTCAAGCCGTAAAACTCTGATAGTTCTCGCTCGTTTATCTTGGCCAGGATGGCGTCAGCAACTTGGATGATTTCTTTTGCTTCAGATGAGCTCAGTTTGCCAGGTGTGATCAAACTTTCGACTTCTGAGTTGCCTGAAGTGCTCCAGAGACGGCTCAGCTTGAACTCTAAAAAGGCGATATCATCTACATATTGTGATTCAACCTTGGATAAAAGGGCCTTGTAAGCAGCTGAATCAGCTTCAAATTTTTTGAGATAGGATATCTCCAGATCACGCGTCGCGTCCTTCAGTTGCTGCTCAATTTCCTCTTCCGTAGGCTTTTCATTCTTTTCTTTGTCTGTTTTTGATTCAGCAGGTGACGGAGGAACGGTGTAAATGGCCTTGTACTGACCACCCTCTACCTTACTGACAAAGTCTAATTTACCAACAAGAGCATCTCCTGGTTTAACCTCCTTGGGCAAGGCATCCTGCCCGGTGGGTGCTGCAATATAGAGCACGGTCAAGTCCTTGCGTTCTAAATTGGCTTTAGTAGCTGTCGAGCTGTCCTTCTTGTAGACATCAGCAATGTTTGTATATGTGTTGAAGTTGACCGTCTTTAAATCCAAATCCAATTCACAAATTGTTCCCTTTAACTTTTCGAGTACATTCTCTTCTTCAGTCGAAAGTTGAAGCATAATTGTGTATTCTCCCTTTTGTTCAAGCTTGATCTTGTGATCAAACACGTCCAAGTATCCGACAATCTTGCGGTTAGCGTCATACACAATACCAAAGACACCTGCCAAAAAGTGCTCGTAGAGCTGGTTCATAACAGGAGGGAATTGAGCGATTACAGAAGTAGATGAATCAACTGTAAAGTTGTATTGAAGTACAAGTTGATAGAGCACACGGCCGGTAGGAAGTAAGTCGCGTTCAGCATCCATAGGTGTAATGGTAGCCTCAGCAGGGCGGATGTACTTGCGCAATTTGTCAAAAGAAACGCTAGGATTTACGCCCACTTCTTTACGAAGAGGTGAACAAATTTCCAAGCGAGTGAGTTGAGGCTCTAAATGGATGGTGCCTTGACCATTAGCCAGGTTTCCAGCGATTTGTACTCCGTGAAAGTTGAGGCTGATGTCGACAGTATGTTTACCGAGAGCAGACCAGAATTGGGCAAGACAAAGTTCAAGCGTAAGATTAGGACGAACAGATAATCGTCTAGAAATCGTTTGCTCTTCAGAGGCTGGGTTTCCAAATGATCCATCGCCCAAGAGAACCGAAAAGGCGTGCTTTCCCTTTTGATTTTGCTTTGGAACAAGTTGAAGAAGATGAAGCATAAATCGAGCAGGGGATGTCTCAACAGGAGCACGAGACTTGATTACGAGCTCAACGTTGGTAGCGCCTTCAGGAACATGAATGTAATTTCTATCAATGTAGCCAGGTTCAAATTCTGTATTCTTGAACTCAATTGAGCCATTTTTGGGTACCAATGGCTTGATAACCGTAACTGGCACACGGAATAAGGGTCCACGATCAGGAGCGGTTGTATCATAGCCCAACACCTCGCCGTAATGAATCTTGTTGCTAGCTAAAGAAGTAGGATCAACCTTGACTTGGAAAGCATTGCCACCAGAATGTATGTAGAGATAGTCAGGGACAGTGATCCAAGTCTCTGTAGCAATAAGAGCCACACGTGCTTCATAGTTGAATTTGGCTGTATTATACTTTGGATTCTCTGGATCAAATTCACCCATGAACTTGGGCTGAACCTTTGTGTTGATGTACTGAACGTTGCTAGTCTCCTCAATCTCACGCAAGTAGATACCACGCTGAATGCCTCTCTTTTGTACTGTTACCCTATACAAAAGATCCAAATCTTGACGATCTTTGTAGTTTTCAAGGTATTCCCATGCCTTTTCCACTTGAATAAAACCAACATTAAGAGGGTCATTTACTGATTTAGCTGTTTGTCTGATAGCGTTCTTTAGTCGATAAGGTGTATATTCTAGTTTCTCGGCCTTTAAGGCTGAAACGAGTAATGCAACACAACCACAAGCATTGGGGCTAATGAAATACACAGTCAGAGGCCATTTCTTTCTAAAATATGATTATTATTTTTTACCTGGACATACTGGTCCCGTTCTTTAAATCAAGCTTGTTTAAAACATAAACAGGAATGCTTGTGATGGCACTTCCGGGGGCATAAATATCAACACCATGATAGCCATCCGTTGTGGGTCCTCTTGAAGACCAAGTGAATGGACGCTCATTGACTGATTCAAGCAAGGCATATTCAGCTTGCATCTGAGCATGCTTAACATAGGCACCGACAGTGATAAAGGATTCATCCATGCCCGCAGGAGCACCGATCGAACTGTAGCAGGGCCCATCATTACCAGCACTAGTGACAAAGATGCAACCAGATTTACCAATAGCTTCATTAGCTAACAGTTGGATAAAATGTCCATCGGTAGGTAGTCCACTTGATTCACCATAGGACATATTTGCCAAGTCAACCTTATGCATTGCCAGATGAGCAGCTGCACGAGTCAGACCAGGGCCAGTTTCCATTGATCCAAGCCGAGCATCACCAATGCGGAGAGAGATGAGTTGTGCACCAGGGGCAACCTAAATCATAAAAATTGATATATTTAGTAAATTTTGACCTTTTTTGCTCTCTCTCTCTTTTTGCTTGATACATACACCATTTAACGCCGGCTCATCGGGAAAATTAGCAGCAGTGATACCAGCAACATGTGTGCCATGACTGCCTGACAATGTTACGATGCTACAGTGGTTGTAAGTTCATGATCCATCTGATGCCCCTTTGCATTATATCTGCTTACCTAAGAACATCACCATTACTATAAATGTTGACAGAGAAATTGAGTAAATCGGCTTTGCCAAACGTGTGATACTGTAGCTCTTTTCTGTAATCTGTTAAGCAAGGTTGACCTACAAAAGAATAATTTCCATATTAGGGCCCAATTACCCTTTAAAGAAACAAGCTCAATTTACCTCGCAAGTCTCCGCTTTCATTCAAGTCAATGGCAGCACGCCAATCTTTACCATCAAAAAAGACAACGCAATCAAGAATAGGTCCGGGGTCCTCGTAGTTCTTGTCTAATTCCTTTAACGCTTCGATACGAGCCTCCAGTTCAGTTTTCTCGGCTTCGTCTACTTTTTCCGTCTTTTTGTTGTAGTCAGCTAGACGATACTGAGCTTCACTCAAAAGTTGAGCTTGCTTCTTGACAAAGTTTTGACGACGTTCCTAATAATATAACGTGAGAAAAAAGAGAGAGGTCGAATAATGAAAAAGTGTACTAACCGATTTCACTCGATTTTTCAATTCAGTTGGGAATAGTTCATATGCACGCTTAACACCAACTCTGTATTCACCGCTTGGGTTGTTCCATGAATTATCCAAAATTAGCTTGCGTCCACTTAAGCCTTCTATGGTGCTTACACCATCCTCAACTGTTGGCTTTACTTTTTTCGATGTATCCACATCACCTAGACAAGAGAGCTTAGTGTCGCCCTCAATTGGATACTTTTTCTTTTCTTTTTTAATTTACCTCCACCAGTACAGTCTACGATATCAATAATCTTTGGCTTTCCATCTGTTGTAATCTATAATATCGATTTTAATACGATATTCTCTCATGGCTATTAGTTACTATACCTGCATGCCTGCTGCTCCTGGGTCGACGCCTAAATAGACAAAAATGAATAAGGGATAAACATCTTATCTCCCATTGTTTATACTTGCCTGTGTCGAGAATAGCTATCACTGTTCCTCTACCGTCATACTGTGGGTACTTTTTGATAAAGCTTGCTGCTTGAGTGTCCTGTTTGGGCATAAGGCCATGTACAGGATATTCTTGAATAGGGGTTGGAGTCATATTGTGCAAGAAGAAGAAAAAAAGAAAAAAAGCAGAGGTACGCGTGTACACAAAGAACAAATAAAGGGAACTCAAGTCCGCTTCTTTAACCTCAGACAGAGAATGGGCACAGTCATGATGCCTGATCGATTCGGGCATGAATTTAGTCGCGGGATTGTGACATGTAGCAATCTGGCTTAGTTTAGACATAGAAAGCACTTTTTTTAACCCTGTCATCATGTTTATGTATATTTTGATAATCTAAAGTAGTATACTTTAATTCATCCCAAAGCTCAAGCGACAAGTAACCAATCATTAAATAATATGAGGCGCTTTTTGCTGAATAGCTCTTTCTCTCTCAAAAATAGATATAAACACAAACATCATCTGCTATTCCAAGAATAAACAAACCTGATATATAAACAAGAACTATGGGAAATTATAGTCCGATCTTATAGTAGTGATGCCCGGCCTTATAACAAAAGAAAATTGTCGTGTTTAATGAGATCGACCATTATCTTCCAGTATAATGTATATTCTACTATCCTTTCATATACACAATCAGATAATGATATATATAATCACATTGACAATATTCTCCCCTACAAAAACTCTTATTCAAATCCTACTTTTAGCTCTTCTTTTCAATAGTATATTCTCTTTGGTATGTTGTTGGCTTGTCTGACTTTTATACAACACAGGCAATTGGCCTGTCACCATTATGAGCACCATTTTTGAACTAACAAATTACTCCACGCGAAGTATTTTACTTGCTGGTCGTGCCTACGCCAATTCCAGTTGACTCCAGTCGAACTTCAGATGTGGCATTGTTCTCCGTAATAGAAGAAAAAATTGATTCATTGATGGTGGTGCTATCCGCTTGTTAGTGCGGTGGTTTGAGATAAAATCTTTCAAATGTGTTTGCTTCTAAGCTCCAATGGGTGTGTTGTTTGATCTTTTGGATATCTGTGCCAAGTTGAAACGCTTTGGTGCTACTTGCTGATCGTAACGTATGAGGGCCATAGATATCGGTATTAATGCCTGCTGCTTTCATGTTTCTCTTCACGATGTTAGTGACTGTTCCAGGGCTGACAGATTTTAACTTCTCAGGTTGGGTAAGGTTGGTAAGGGAGAGTGTATGATCTGCTGATAATTTTGATCGCAGTTATTGGGCCTTGTTCATGAATTCAAACGTGGTTCTTACAGGACACAAGTGTGATAAGCTAATCGCTCCAAGTTTTGCTACTTTTGACTGGCTTTCTTTAGGTTGTCGGATATGTAATGTTATTCCGTTGACAATGTGTGTTGTCGAGCTTGTAGTATCCACGCTACTATTCAGTGCTTAAATACAATATCTAGAGTTGAACCTAATGTTGCTCTACGATTTGTTACACCTTAATCAAATATAGTCAACTCAGTTTAAATACCTCAGCTTCTCAATGTATAATTATAGATTGTGCTATCATCTTTTTTCTCTTCACTTTATTCTGAATAAAGATACAGAGTATGTTTATTAGTGTCCAGATTCATACAATGATCCCAGGGCTTTTTTTCAAAGAAGTAGCTGTCAGTCTAAGAATACATAGCATTTATGTCTTCACTAGTAAGCAGGGGAAGTTGACGCTATATTTATTTAGTAAACTCCAGCCTAAGGCATAAGCTAAGGCATAAACTAACCCATAACATAATCTATAAGGCTATAAGTGTAAAATAAGAAAAGTGGTCTAATTATTTCATTTAAACATGATATTTTATTGATAGTCCAAATGAGCACTAAAATAAAGTAATAAGATAAACGTCCATCCGGACTCGTTCAATCCGTTTGGAAGTGAACGTTAGCGAAAAAAACCCTTTATGGGTACAAGGGTAAAAAACGTAAAAGGAAATTAATGAGTAGGGTTATCAATGAAAAGTTAAATGAATTGCTTTAATCACACAAGGAGCTTTTGACCATGGGGATGCTTAGTAGAGGTCAATTTGTTAGGGTGTAGCTGATCTAATTCATGTAGTAAGGAGCATATAATCGGCCATCGTTGAGACCAGGTGAGGGCTAGGTTTGGGAGAGCCGAAGGGCGTAAAGGAAGCATATTCAGAAGGAATGACAATGGATCTCATATAGTTTCAGACATGAACAGACGTCGATGCAAATCAAGGCAACTAATAGCGTGATTCTTAGATAGCTGTTGCGCTGAGTGCTAAGGACATGATCGAGGTTTGCCACCAGGAAGCCAGCCTAATCTCCAGCGTATACAGCGACTGCGCTCTGACTTAGACATGAGTAACCAGAGTATAGGATCCAGAGAGGTTGATCAACGGCAGCTAGAAAGCAGTTTGAAGTTTTGGCATTGTTGGCGGATCTCTAGATTTTGTTGCAGAAAGCGTCGTTTAGCAGTCTTGAGTGAGCGAGTGTTGGGTTCTTCAGTAGTAGACAGCACCGTTTTCCAAAGCGATGTACGAGAGAGAGCGTACCACTGGCTTCCTCTGGTATTGCGGATATAGGGTAGCAGACAAGCAAGCAGTGCATCTTCTGGCAAATATAAGGAACGAAAGAGGAACTGTGCCTGTAGTATACTGATTCGTTCCGACATGAGGGGTAGCCTGGACATGTAGAGCATAACCTTAATGGACGCTTTATCTCGAGCACCGTAGATTTCCTTGATGCAATTATTCTGAGCTTCCTCTAAAGCGTGAAGTTGAGAGGCCGTGAAGCGACTAATAGCTAGACCGTATTCAAGCTGAGGTCGAACGATGTGAGCGTAAAACCTGGTGCAAAGAAGTTTGGAGAAACCGGAAGGATTCACACCAATAGATGACAACATGTTCATCGTTGCAAGAGCCTTACAGGTATTACGTTGAATTGGTTCTTCTGGATCAAGATGCCCACCCGGTTTAAAGAGGACGCCAAGGTATGCGAAAGTTGTTTCTCTTAGTAATGGCTGATCGTAAAGGATTTTTCAAACATCCAGTAAATTGAGAGTGGAAGCACAATAATTGTGTTTTTCTTTGTTTTACATTGTATTGAAACAACGGTCATTGAATAAATATTTATCAGTTGTTCTGTAACAAACATGTTGGGCTATCCTTTTTTGATCATGAAGGTATCGGAAGTACGGTCAAACTGATTAATCAACTTGTCTATTATCTATGTATTATTAAAATAAGTTTATATAAACAACTCCCGTAGCTAATAGAAATAGAGCCGTATGGGTTTAAGTTGGTTTCTCTCATCTTTAAGCATATCCTCCTAAATTGGTAGAGTAAAAACTACGCCGTGTAACAGAGATTTGTCATACTTGGCTCTTCCCACGAAAAACTATGGCAAATCAGCCATTTCATTAGTCAGAAAGTCATTGACCGCTTTGCATAAATTTATTCAAAACGTCCCCTTGTTTAAAAATAAAATCTATAATAATACACCCAACCTCATTTGACCTTGTGCAATATAAACCAGACAAATTTGCATTCTTTTTCCATGTAAAATTGGGCTTGAAACAGAGTATCTTTTGCTTTCTTTAATGCAAAGTGATGCAACTTAACCTGTGTGAAACAAAGTTCGGATGATATATTTATAAAAAGGGCTAAAATGTTAATAAATCTAATCCAGTCTTTTCATTTCTCTTTTTTTTTTACTATCTCTTTTTCATAAAGAATGACACAATCCGATATCCAAACCATTAGCTTATCTAACGGAAAGACAATCAAAGGTAATATATACATGTGTATTATGTAAAACAGGGTCTAAACATTATACTAGTTCATACACAACTCTTCATTAACAATGACTTTGTTCCCGGTCGTGGCCCTTTAATTGAAACTATCAATCCTGCAAATGAACAGGTTCTCTGCAAGGTTCACTCTGCTGATGAAAGTGATGTCAACCTTGCTGTTGACGCTGCTTATCAATGTTATTACACAACCTGGCGCAAGGTCGCTCCTGCTGAACGTGGACGTCTTTTAAACAAGCTTGCTGATTTAATGGAGCGCGATAAGGATGAACTTGCTACTCTTGATGCTGTCGATAACGGTAAATCCTTCGTCATTGCTCGTGATGTTGACGTCACGGATTCTATCAACTGCTATCGTTATTTCGCTGGTTGGGCTGACAAGATCCACGGCAAGACAATTGATACTACATTTGATAAGCTGTGTTATACTCGTCACGAGCCTCTTGGTGTTGTCGGTGCTGTTATTCCTTGGAACTATCCTACGATGATGGCTGCATGGAAGTTTGCTCCTGCCTTGGCAGCCGGTAACTGCAGTAAGTTGTATACTAAAAAAAAAAGAGTGTGCTTAATAACACGTTTCTCAGTTGTCATGAAGTCTTCTGAAGTTACACCATTGTCTACTTTGAAATTTGCTGAACTCGTCAAGGAAGCTGGATTTCCTGCTGTAAGTCCAAAGAAGTAATCAAGGCCCCATTATATTCACCTTTCTATATCTATATTTAGGGCGTCGTCAATGTGATCACAGGTTTTGGACATACAACGGGTGCTTATTTGACTACTCATCCAAAAGTAAGCAAGATGGCATTCACAGGCTCAACCTTCACCGGCCGTAAGATTATGGAAGCAAGCGCTGGTAGTAATCTCAAGAAACTTCAACTTGAATTGGGTGGCAAGTCTGCTCAAATAGTATGTGCTGATGCTGATCTTGCAAGTGCCGCTTATTGGGCCTGTGGTGGTATCTTTAACAATCACGGACAGAGTTGTAATGCTGGCTCCCGTATCTTTGTTCATGAATCGGTTCATGACAAGTTTGTCGAACTTTTCATTGAAGAAGCCAAGAAGATCAAGATTGGTGATCCCTTTGATGAAGATACCTTCCAAGGCCCTCAGATCAACAAGTCTCAATTTGAAAAGATCTTGCACTATATCGAGATCGGCAAAAAGGAAGGAGCCAAGGTAGCTTATGGTGGAAAGCGTTGGGGTAAAACAGGTTACTACATTGAACCTACTGTCTTTGTGAACTGCCATAATGATATGCGTATCATGCGAGAAGAAATCTTTGGCCCTGTTGTTGCCATTGGCACTTTCAAAGACATTGATGAAGCAATCGAACTTGCTAATGACTCTGAGTACGGCTTAGCTGGTGGTGTATATACCAAAGATATCGATGTTGCTATCAAAGTAACGAATGAAGTAAAGGCTGGTACTATGTGGATTAACTGCTATGATGTATTTGATCAATCTACTCCATTTGGTGGTTATAAACAGTCTGGCTTTGGTAAAGAACTTGGTAAATATGCCCTTCAAGAATATACTCAAGTCAAGGTTGTAAAGCTCTTGAGAACCAAGCTTTAATTGTGTGTAATAATAAAAAAAGGAATGTTATTTGTGTAAATAAAAGCAAGTTCTTTATATGTTTTTTAACAAAAAAAAAGAAATCAGGTCCTCTCAAAGCATAATTCAAAAACATATCTACAAGATTGCATGTTGAGAGTATAATAATGATCTGACTTTATAGTAATCTGCTGATAGCACTCCTTCTACCAACAGTTGACCAGTGCCAGTCTAATGAAAATTGAACATCAGTATCTCGGCATTTTTTCTTCGTCTTCGTCTTACCTTTCTGACGGCAACTCGTTCATTACAGACCAAAATACCTTCACCTTTAAATTCAGCGTGAATTCCTTCTGCTTGCAATACTTTTCTAAACTCTGATAGACGAACATCTCCCACAAATACTGATGGCTCATATTGAGCTGGCTCATCTGCCATACTCACATCCAATGAAGGGGTAGTTGAATCTTCAGGAAAGTGAATACGACCTACAACCCGGGCTAGTTCGTAATCATCCAACTATATATTGATTATTGTTAGCTCTTGATAGAACAACAACAAACTTGGCCCATTACCTTGGAGAACTGAAGAGAGCTGACCATGCTGTCAGTTAGCTTGACTCTGTAGATATTGGTTGCTGCCGATACGTTAAGTACTTCTCCAACAGATGGTGTGAATATTTCCTTTGTAAAATACTCAATCCCTTGACAGGCAGATTCGAGATCTTGTGTAGACGACTTGGAGCCGTGAACGATAATCTTTGCAAAGTATAAGTAACTCATTTTCATGACTCATCTTTAACTTACTAGCTTTCTGGGAGCAATCTGAGGCAGAATGGTCTTCATAGATCTACCATCTGAGAGACCTTCTAAATCAACATATCTTAATTGACATCGAATCGAAAATGTCTCATTGCTTGAGATATATTTTGTGGGTGATTCATCTCTGCCTGGTAGTATAGGTTCCTGAAGATCTATTTGCATGTCCTATTAATTCACATTGTTAGTCTTGTTGGATTATTTATGTAGCTGTCTATTCATACATCTTCCTTTCCAAAGTTAGCTCCTTGACCGATTCGCTTCTTCTCTTGCTCCATTCTCTCCAATTCTGAACTCTTCATATAATGCTCAATTTGAATTGCTTCACCATAATCATCAATCTTTTTTCGTTTCTCCACATAGGGAAACATACGATAACTCTGTGCATGTTTAAAGAAGCCGCCTGACTTTCCTGCGTCACGAACATAAAGATCAAACTGCCTTGTCAAGAGACCCTCGATATCTTCATCTGCTTCATCAATATCTGAATTGTCAGATTCATCTTCTTCCATAATAATTTTACTTCTTGCAATTAAGGCTGCCTGTGCTGCATCTTTCTCTGCCTTTGCTCGTTGAGCTGACTCGTACTCTTGCAATTCAGCGCCTTCAAGAGGAACACGCTTGTAGACTTTTAAATCAAAGATATTTTCATACGTGATCGCAGGCTTCACAGGGACCTTGGTTCTATTTGCTCCTGTTATGACAGGCTCAGCCGTCTTTGCTTCCCAGTCATCATAGAGTCGGCGTGCAAGCGTGCCGGGAGCTGAACGATCTGTCAAGATGAGGGTATTGTTGTTTCTTTGATCGCTTGTCATCCAACGCAAGAAAAGCTCTCGAGAAAATCCTGTTTCTAAGCTATGGTGACTAGCCATGACGACTTTGGGTCCAGGATATTTGTCCAAGTCCTCTATTTTGTGACATAGTCTTACATATTTGAATTCATATGGATTTTCTCGTGTCTGTGAAAAACTTCTCGTCAACTCTTCACCCATCCATTCGAGCATAATCTTTGCAAAATGAATCGTGTGATAGCTTGTATTTGAGAGCATGATCAAGGGATAGTTCAGTCCGTTTTGGGCCCAATACTGATCTAGAAGATAGGATAGCTCCAATACACGCGCTGATGAGTCAGTTGGTAACAAGACAGATCCACCATTTTTTAAGGAAGTCAGCATGGTATCTAATAAGCATAAATATATAATCTTTATCTTGTTAAAGAACCTTACCAAACATGGCGGCATATCTGTCTTTACGAGCCGGATGAACGACTTGTGAATTGTATGCGTCTGTGATGAGTAAAGAAGGACGAGTGAGAGAGTCAAGGACGACACCACCCGAGTGCAATACAGTTCCATCTAGATGACTAAAATAATGATCAATATATACAGTCTTTCTCTCATCCAGATTTTACACTCAATATTTACGATTCTTTTCTATGGTTAAAGTCAACAGCGTATACTATTTCATCTGTATCTTGCTTTATTTTCCAAATCGTACCACCAATGGTATGTGCTGCTGCATAGGCCGTGATCGTAATACCTTGACATTTTCCTATACGTAAAAGGATATAAACACGCCTACTTTTAGTCAAGTTTCTTTTTTCTAACCTGTCAGACTGAATGGTTGAGAATATCTGAGTGGAACGATTTTTTCAAATGCATTATCAATGTCCTCTAATGTAAACGTCTTAAATTCTACCTCATTGGCTTTGGACTGGTAAAGATCGTACATACACATCTTTCCCATATTAGCGACAGGTACTGTTGAATAAACAGGACAAGTCATTCCTAAATGACTTCGTGCATAAGGGTATGCACCAAGATGAACAAGGTCACTATGAGAAAGAAGAACAGCATCGATCTGTTTTGATATTCTACAAACACACACACAGATGGAATGAATACATTAAGGCTTTTCTTTTTTGTTTGTTTTAGGTTTATTACTTTTTCAAATTTGAAAGACTGTCTATATCAAAGGAGTCTGACCAGCCACAGTCTAGTAATATCTTTACTTCGTCAATCTCTAATAGATAGCAAAGTGGATCTTCATTCTTGGAGCCAGAAATAGGCGTGAATTTAATATAACTTGTCATTACGAGAGAAAGAAGAAAAAAAAAAAAATAAATAAATAAAAAGAGCGACCCCAGCCAAACCCTTTTTTTTTGTAATGAATAAAGATTCAAATGAAGAAGAGGATCCTTATAATGCAAGGATTGAGAAAACAGGCTGCTTTCAAGAGAATGAAAGAGTACTGATATGCTATTATGAAAACAAAGACTGGAGAAAATGTAAAGAGGAAATGCAAGCTTTTAGAGATTGCTTTATAAAAAACAAGAACAATGCAGGCAGTAAAGAACTTAGTGAATCCAAAAAGTGATCATTCACATAAAAAGCTAGCCTCTCTTATTTGTGAATTATCTAATATTGACACTGTCTGTAACTGTGTAAATAAATGTTGGTGAATTTTAAATTTATAAGCCCTTGATAACACTTGGAAGGTCAAGACGTGTTTGATTACTGAAGCTAAAGGATATAGTTAGCATAATAATAATAAAAGCCACGTCTACTTGCCTGTAATACGAAACTTGTTATAGTTTACCAAAGGATGACATAGTCTCTCGCATAGCTTTTTGTCATGCTCAACGTAGTCCTCATTGTTGGTATCAGCATTGGATTTGATAAATGTAGGTAACTCGGCCAAGAAGACAAGGTCCGATAGATATAGGCCTAATAGATAGGATGAGAGTGAGGTTACAAAAGCGATAATAACATACCTAGAAAGGGTATACATCCGTCAACGCGCTCAAACCCCTTTAGGCTCTGAGTAAGAACGCATTCGACAGCAAATGACTCTGTTACTTCCTCTGTCGCTTTTGTCATGCAATCCCTTATGTTCTTCCAGTTCTTAAAAGGTTTAGCCAGCTCCTTGAGTTGATTAAGTAAATCTTTTTGAACCTGATTCACTCGTTCCCATGTCCTCTCAAGCCTTGTTACAGCCGGTGACTGCAACCCTAATAAAATTTGCATCAACGTACTATAATTGCGATGCTGGTAACATTTGAATGCTATACGGATGAATTTTTCAATCACTTGAACACGCGTCTCCAGTAGTGTAGAGCGCACAATCTCGCAAGTAACCCATTGACATGTCTGTGTGTGTGTTACAGAGCAGCTAAGCTTTACTATATGTATTTCGTTTTACCTTGTTAAAAAAGTCGATCAACAGCTCCACTCCCTTCAAGTCTGTGTCCTGACTAACAGAATGTCTTGTCGAAGAACCCTTTTTTCTCCACCTCAGTTCTATCAGCTCATCCCAACTAACTGTCTGTAGCATATCCTTTTCGATCAAACAAAACTGTTGAGCAATGATCTCTGAGCGATGCTTGAGCACGACAGACTTGTAACTATCCTGATGGATAATAAGTGAAAACAACTTGCTGTGATAAAGATCCACATGAAAGGGTTTACACAAAAGAGAATGATTATACATTGAAAATGAGGTACTTTTTCTGATCGTACGTCCCAGTTTGCCCGTCCAACTTGGCTCACGTTGTTGATCGTCAGTGTCTAGATGGCGGTAAAACCGCCGCTGTCTCTTCATGATCTTCCTTAGGTTGTTCACGATCCGTTCATTTCGAGGAGAGGCAAGTATGGCTGGATGTGTACGAAGCTGGGTTAAGAAGGTGCATAACATGAATCGAAGTGTATGTGAATTCATAAAGTCATGCGTCCAATAGTGAGTCAACCAGTAACGGATGACGACAAAGGTTCTACATGACAAGTGTGAGTCAATTGTAGAAAAGAGTTCTGGGGGTACCTTATTCGAATCAGTTGACGTTCATCTGTTTCTTCCAATAATGTCCATCGAAACCTTGAGATAAGTAGCTTGCAGAGTTTGATGGGTGTCAAGTACTGACGAAAGGTAAAAAAAAAGTCCATTAAAAAGTCGTAATTCATCTCTCTTGTCAACTTTTCTACTAATTTCTCGACAGTGGCTGAGGTGACCGTGCTGTCTGTTTTTCCATAATGAATAAAGTGAAGTGAATCATTCAGAAGTAAATCAAATAAATGCGGATCGTTTTCGATCGGTTCCTTAGGTGCATAGCTTGTGTTACTTTGATTCACAGGCAGCTTATCCTGTTCCTTATGTGAACGTCCAAATTTTTTGATGAATTTGCTGTTTGGGATGGGTGGCAAAGACGCTACAGGTTCAAGATGATTTTTATGCATTCTAAGTTTGGAGAATGTGAAAAGGATAAAGTAAGGGAGGTGATATTAAAAAAGAAAGGGGGGGTTGAAGGTCAAATGCAAATCATGCTTACATGTTTGTGGTAGTTGTAGTCGTAGTAGTAGTACTAGTAGTAATAGCATGAGTGGTTATCCACCCATAAATGGTAGCTAAGCGTGAGTATTCTGATTGAGTTGATTCTATATATAAACTATGTCTTCTTCTGGGTAAATTAGGACGTGAAATATAATTGATGACAGGGAAAGTGATTGTATATGGATTATATAGTTTATCAAAATAGATATCATCTAATGATCTAGATCGCCTTCTATTGACACACTGTTATTGACGCTTTTGTTTACATTAATCACACATTTACTTTAAAGGTGTCACACTGCATGGAATTGTATTAAGCATGGAAAAGAAATAGAAAAAATCATGTCTCTTATTCAGTTTATAAATGTGACTTTAGATAACTTTATTGACGTAAGAATGAAAAAGGAAGGAGAGACAATGATTCAATAACCGCGTGTTTCTTTCCTTTATATAATGACAATGTCAATACAAGAAAAAGATCATTACAAATTACAAAGACCATTCAGACTTAGACGATCCTTAAGAGAACTTGTGCATAAACCAACTAGTCAACAGTCACTGAAACTACCACCTTTACCTCCATATGATCCTGATAAAGAAGAATATGCATATGATGTATTATATGAATGTCAGAGAGGGTATAGTCTTTTATATCAGGTAATACTATCTATCTAACACCTTTCTAGTTCATTGACTGTAGGCTATAGCTCAAAAACGTAATACAATAATTTCATTGTCTTTTCTTTTTATAACTTTTTCTTTTTATAGTTTACTTCAATTCGATCCAAATCCTTGGTGTGATGCCGATATGAAGTTTACCCCCATGAATATTGATAATTATCAGTTACCAGATCCTACTTGGCAATGGGTAAGGCTGATATATGTATATATATACTCTATGGACATCATTCATCTTGTTGTTTAGGTAAGCAAACATTGGATGATTGATATGACAGGTGACGTAGATGAAGCAGGATGGCAATATGCATTAAAATTTCATGGAGCAGATTGGCATGGTAACCAGTTAAGTTCAATATACAATAGTAAACTGAGTTATCCTTTTTAGGTAATTATAAGCACTTGCGATCCTTTGTGAGAAGAAGGAGATGGATAAGGTTAAGATATAGAACCTTAAAAAATGATACAATGATAAAGAATGAAGTAAAAACAAGTGTATTGGTTGATGTTGATGATAACAGCATACCAGAGTCATCTTCATTTAGTCATCAGCACTTTACAAAACAGCTACAGACATGTCGCTTGGACAGAGAAAGAATGTCTCTTTTCACAAAAGCCATTCAATCTGGTAACCAAGATAGATTGCTCGAAAAGGTATAGATGAAATAAATCATGGCTCTATTATTCATTCTCTCTTTATTTTTTAGATTTCCTTCTATATCAATACTCTCGATTTCGAAGACACAAAACATACACTCATTCAGTTGCTGACTGCACAGAAAGAAAGAAAGTTCACAAGGGAAATACAAGCAGCTATACAATCGCTTGGTTTCTATAGCAACAAGCAGTCGATCGTAAACCATGTGCTTTGTCAATCATCTAGTTGATGATAATAAACATTTGCTTTCTTCTAGTATTTCAAATCAACTTTATTGTAAAAAGATGATAGATTACAGCAGACTTAGTAGAAGAAACCGAGGATCTTACCACCAGTGTGCTTTTGACGAGCCTCTTCGTGATCCATGATACCAGCGGAGGTGGTCAAGATAAGGTAACCGAATTGACGGGCAGGCAACAAGTTGGCAGTCCACTTTTCGAGTTCGGTAAGCTTGATGTTGAAACGGGGAGAAATAACACCACACTTGTTAAGACGACCGTTGAGTTGGATGACGATCTTGCCGGAACGGTGGTCATCGATCTCCTCAAATTCACCAATGTAACCTAATAAATGTTAGATATGTTCAAAACATTGAGATATGCATATCCTGAAGAGTTTAAATGTATCAGTTTCTTAACAATACTCAACATGGAATCAGTTGAGTAAGCGTAAGAAAATGACGTTGTTCTACCGCAGATTTAAAGGTCAAAGTTTGTGGAAAAGCGAAACTTTAACTAGTTATACTACGGAATTGTCGTGTACTGGACTGCATATCTCCTTTGTCGAATAAACTTACCGTGCTTTTGCATGACGGACAAGAACTTGATGATGACCTTGGAGGAAGGACGGACGAGAACTTGTCTCTTACCACGGCGTTCAGCGTTGTTGATGCTGTTCAAGCAATCGTTCAAGACGGAGACTCTGACCATGTTTAATAATCTATAGAGTACAAAGTAAGTAAAAGGTTTCAATTGAACAATGTCCAATCCAAGTAATACCGAATCGCTCTCCCTTTCGTTTTCAATAAAAGCTATACATTTCTTTTCTCGTAAAACAAGCTTTTATGTAATAACTACGTGCTTCAGGGATGGATGGACTAGATGGATGGACGATGTGTTGTCTAGAATGGATGGATGGATGGATGGATCATTACCTGTTATGTGAAGAAGAGAAGGATCAAGCTTGGCCAGGCACGGAAAGCGTAATTATGCCCAAAAGAGCGTCTTTCTGGATAAGCCACCACAACGATTTAAAGAAACTCCGCTCCCACATCAAAACGAAAAGATTAAATCGCTCTGTAGAGAAACAATCGTAAAATATTATGCACTCTTTCCGGAAAGTAAATTCGCTTGTGATCGAAAATAAATGCACCCAATGGTGAGAACAAAATTCATATTGTACGAAATGTAAATTTGTCGTTACCAAGAATATTTTCGTAGTATCAGCCTTGACATCCATGGAGATACTGCATTTCCAAATTTAGATGTCGTATTGAAACCGTTGCAATGCTATCAGAGTAATAACAAATACAAAAAGAATATGGCTCACTATTCCATTTGACAGTAATATTAACAGGTGGGCTGTCTTGGAGCTGAAACTAACCTAATATTAGAAATCGCCCTCTTTAGTCTTCTTGTAAAAGTTTAAATTCTTTATTCGGTTTTTCCATGAAATCAGAACATGTAGTCATGTTTGGCAGTGCATATTCTTGAATAATCACCATGTAGATTTTTCCTATTTGATGTGATTTCTTTGTTCCAGGTACCTGTTCCTGAAGCTTGTTTGAAAAAGAAAAACATATAGGAACCCATTTTAATTGAGCCCTTTTTTTGCTTCTTTACAGCAGTTATCAAGTGTCCCTCTGAGTGTTCAAAGATTCACCAATCAAAACTAGCCTGTCCTCATGGTCCTTGCTCTGACTCGCTTGTCCCGCCATCTTTGCTCTCTGGCGTGTATCTGGAACGTTCTCCAATAGTCTCTTCTGACGTCCTGGGTTCTCTCTGTCCTCCGTTCCTTTTTTTTTTTTTTGTTTAATTTGTTTAAACAATCCTGGGTAGTTATCGCTACCCTCCCCAGACTGCACCTTGGTGGTAAGTAAAACTAATATTAGGATATGTGCTCTAATACTAACATACTTTTTCTCTCTTTTTCTACATATACTCATTATCTCTCTCTCTCTTTTGACATGATGTCGTTTTATTCAAACGTATTTTTCTTTGTCGTCTTTTTACGAAAATATTTTTTTTTTATTTTACGACAATATTTTATAAAATTAACGTCAATAGTTAATAAAAATATAGTATATTTTATGGCCCTTTATCCATAACAGCTACATAATTATTAAATTTACATCTATTGAAATGTCTATCAACTTTAAAAGTACCTCCATTTCTATTACTGCTGATTTTGTTTATCCTACTGTTCCAGATTACGGGGAAAGTGTTCAGATCATCACTACTACGTCTGATAAGTTTGAGGAATGGTTCAAAAAGGACGCGTTCTCGCATTCTAAGTGGGTATTTAAACGACAGTATCCGTTGCAAACAATCTCCAGTTCATCAGATAGCCCATTCTTGAAACTTTGCCAGTTCACACCGCCATCTATTTGTGTGATCATGCTGGTGCCGACAAGAAGAAAGCTAAGAGTAGCACAGGTACTATTGATACTACTAACGTTTTATCTTATGTAGATAATGAGCAAAGTAGTAGCAGTAACCAACTAGAATTTATACGTCCTAAGAAGGCCCGTGTTACTATGAAGTCTTCTATCAAGTTAGGTTGCACTGCCAAAATCATTAAACATGTCATGACGGACGGCACAATCCATGTTGAATACCACTGAGAGCATCCTGATCATTGTCCTTGGGATATCAAGGAAATTACGAGCTCTCGTTTGCCTTTTGAAATCAAACAATGGATAACTGAAAAGGTCAGCGAAAATATGGACTGGGAACCTGGGTAAAGACCAACTTCTCTTTGAACGTGGAGCAGATTATGATAGACTGTAGTTCTTCCGAGACAGCTGCAATTAGAGACGTCTTTGAAGGCTCTGTTCAATTTCTTTTGTATCATTAGCATATCTGGTGTGCACGGGACAGTAAGCTTAAGGCTGTAGTAAGTATTTTCATATAAAATTCTTTATTTTAAGTATTTGTACTAATAGCTCTATATGATGTCAGGTTAAAGAACCTAAGCATGCTCATGACAGTCAATCCAGACGCAAAGGTATTCGTGCTTGGTTTGATTTGATGATTGGCGCCCGTTCTGAAGAAGAATTTCTTAGTATATTCACCTCTTTTAAAACTCGCTTCAAAGACGAAGGGCAATTCTTTGCTTATTTTAGAACAAGATGGTTGGCCAAAAAGGAGCTTTTCTGTAAAGCCTAGCGGCCAAGTGCCTCTTTCCATACCAGCAACTTGATTGAATCATATCACAGTCAATTGAAAACGTTTTACCTTGGTCGCGTTCGACGCAGTCGCTGTGACTTTTTGATTTATACTTTGCAAGAAACGCTGATGATCGACTACTGTCAGTAGACTTTAAAATGTTTGTATGGTTTTCAAACTGTTAAATTAAACTCAAATGATACGAAGAAGAAAAGATTGGCATATGCTCTTGACGAAGACATTGCTATAAGTATGGTTCAGCGCTCTGAAGACAGTGATGATACGTATGATTGTAAATCATTCACTGAAGATTACATTTGATACGAAATCGAATTGAAAAATGGTCACCTCTTCCGTTGTAACCGCACTGATAATTCAAAACTTTGTAAGCATATCTTCTTAGTTAACAGAGTGGCTGATGTTCCATATACTCTTCGTTCTGACATTGTTGTTGATGCTGATACTACTGGTCTTAGCTATGAATTTCACAGATACTACTAATGACTCTACCTCTGATAATGATATCTGTCAACAATTGACCGATCTTAGAAGAAAGAAGGTGATGTATAGTTTACAACGCGATAAATTGGAAGTTATTAACGATGCTGCCAAAACATCATATGAACGTCAAAGATAAGTATATTTTCTTTTATTAACATCCTACTATCTTTTTTACTTTTCCTACATATACTACTATCTCATATTTTTAAATAAACAATAACCCAATATTTCTCTTTGATTCATTATGCCCTCTTTTTTTTTTTTCAAAGTCTTTTCACTATCTTGGCTATGCATATTGCAGTGATATTGGTTCGGACAGGACTGTTTTTGAACAGGGCGATTTAACATTGTTCGTCATAGCATGAGCAACGATAAAGATAACCGTTTTGAACTTCAATGTCATAATATAATATACCATGTGTAAAGGATATGCACTGAAACAGACTATCTTCAATCTTCTCTAGCATACCACAGGCAATGTCATAATCAAGGATATCAGCAGTCTTCTTCTTTTGCTCTTCTACAGTCAATTTAACAGCTTGAAATCCGAGTTTGGAACCACAGCTCATTGATAGCTACAGCGTGATGGTAGTACTGTGTATTTTGAAGAATAATGAAATTATTTGAGAACAATGAAATTCAATTTCTTTATCAGGATGTACAAACACTATTTTGCTGTAAATAAATACGGTTTCTTTTCACTCTTTTTCTCTTTTTTTTCTCTCCATATTTATAATAACATAGAACTACTGAAGACATTGCATAAAATGTCCAAAAGCCTTGATTTCATAGTAGACGGCTTTATCATTCATCTTCTAAATGAATGTTAACTTGTGTATATAATAGATATGCCACGTTCAAAAAAAGAACAGGATAGCTACTATGATGGATCAAAACTGACTAGAGCTCCTACTGTTGTAACATCCGGTAAAAGGCAACAATAAAGTAATGATCAGGATCACCGTAAGCGATCAAGAAGTGGATACACCTTGCCAGAACTTCTATGAAAATTATTTAATGAATCCATGAACCATCATCTTATTCTGAAGGTTATCTCTTATGTTGATAACATAGCATCTTTGGGAAGACTTAAGTCAAAGCTGTTAAATGCTAAGGTGCTACCAAGATCAGTAATGATGAATGCTGAAAAACATGCAAAATGTGCTCCAGGGGAAATAAGGGATTACTTGAGAAAAAAAAGCTTACCAAAAAGGAATGTAAGTCCTTTCACAGCAGCACGCGGTTCGTGACACTCTTAGAAAATTTTATTACTCTAGCAAAAGGTTA